GCCGGGGACAATGGGATAATCTTAGGACGCGGGTCCGCCGAAACACACCTGTCGCGAAATCCACGATGGGACGAGGGTCGAAAGCAGCTGTTTCCCCCCCCCATTCTACGCGATACCGAATGTTGTCGCTCGAACCCGCCGCTTGCTTGGGGGGCTCTAGGGTTCTCTTTCGTGGATTTCGACCCTCGGCTCATCGTGGATTTCGCGAAAGTGTGCGCAGCATCGGTCGGTCGGCATAGTGAGGCTCCAGGATAAGTGAATAGAGCCCTAGCCCCTGGTTTATCTCCTCATGCCTCTCTCCCCCTTTCTATCTATCTCTCTTCTCCTCATCCCTTTGTCGTTTTTTTTTTTTCCGCCTCCCCATTTGCAGCGTTGTCATGCAGCCAGGTGGTGTTTCCAGGACGGTGTCCTTCTCCTCCCTGATGCCCCCTCCGCTCAATCCTACTCGAAATCTCCTTCCCCATCCATCCTCATTATCCTTCTCCTTCCCTCGCTGCCGCTCTGGCCCGCGTCCGCGGGCCCGCGTCCGCCGGCGCGCGGCGTCCGCCGCCGTCCGTCCGCCGGCCTGCCGGGCCCCGCCGGGCAACCTGGCGCAGCGGCGCAGGCGCGCTCACTCCTGGCGGGGGGCTGGTGTCCACGGGTCCACGGGTGGCCAGGGGCGGCCAAGGGCGAGCGGGGCGAGGAGTGGGAAGAGGAGGAGGAGGAGGAGGAGAGGAGAAGGACAAGGAGGAACCACGTATACGACGTGACGATGAGGAGGATTAGGAGAAGGGGGCGATGCTAAAATGATGAGTATTCGGATGAGCGCGCTAACGGACCGTTAGCGCCCCGTGGCAGCCCCTACCTCCTCCCTCTGGGGACTTGGGTGCATTCGCGCCTTTTCAAGACGCGAGGCCGCGAGGACGACAGAGCCGATGGGTCGCGGGCGGGTCGAGAGGCGAGCGGGTCGCAATCGTCATCATCATCATCACCACCATCATCACCATCATCATCATCATCATCACCACCAGTATCGGTATAATCATCAGCATCATCACCATCACCATCGTCATCATTCACCCGAATCATCATCATCAGCTTCATTATTGCCATCATCATTGTCATATCACATCATCCCCTAGTCCTTAGTCGATGGGCGCGGCTACAACGTTACAACTTGAATGCCGCTCCGAGCGGGCAGGCGAGAGATAGGAAACGCGCGCCTCGCTCTGCCCCCACCACTTCTCGGTCGGAGGGACGGTCCCAAGAGGGCCCCAGACGGCTCCAAGAGGGCCCCAAGACGGCTCCAAGAAGCCCCCGCACCAAGATCGGCCACGTGGCTTCGCATGACCGCTGTTGGGGCCTGTTGGAGCCACCCTTGACACCTAGTGGGGTTGTTTCATGTCCTTGGGGATGGCCCCAAGATGCCACCAAGACGGTTCGAGGGCCCCAAGAGTGGTCACACCAAGCATCTCTGGCGCGACTGTTGTTTGTGCTCTCTTGGGGGCCTCTTGGAGTCATTTCGGGGCTGCCTGGGAATCTTTCCCATGGCCATCGGGCCATCGGAAGGGCCGAAGAGAGACTGACCCAACGGCCCCCGGGGGCCCCTAGATGGGCCCAAGACGGCCCCAAGGGGGCTCCACAAGCCGCCAATGAGGGGACCGAACGACTCACTTGCGATGCAACCCAGCCGCGACCCGCTCCCGACCCACTGGCGCAGCGAACCACACAGCAAACCACACGCGACCCACCCGCACCGCGGCTCGCCCGCTCCTCGCCCCACCCGCCGGGACGACAACCACAACAGCAACAGCAGCGACAGCAGTCACCACCACCACACCACACCACCACCAACAACAACACAAACACCAACAACGACATCAGCAACAAACAGCAGCACGAACAATGGCATCACCAACCGCAGCGGCAACGACAACGGCAACGGCGGCAACAACAACAACAGCAACAACAATAACAATAACAAACATAACCCTCACCGCTGACCCCACTTCGGCAACGCACCCAGGGACCCATGGACATTGTAAGACCGCTGAGCTCGGCCACACGAGGGAACGCGCTGGGAAGGGGATGGGAAAGGAGAGGAGGAGCTGAGGATGAGGAGGAGGAGGCAGAGGAGCAACATGTGGGTGCACAGTTGCACGGTCATCAACGCGCCCATCGCATGCTGAAACGTGATGGCAGGACGGAAGAAGGAAGGCAACACTGCGTGCATGCTATGTATCGGCTCTCTTGCACGGGGGTGCGCGATGCAGGGAGGGAGGACAGGGAGGACTGCCCGCCACCAGGATGCACCATTAGGACGAGATGGCTGAGGATGGGGAGGTGGGAAGGAGGATGAGGACATAGAGGAAGAGTTACGAGTACAAGATTACAGGGAGGAGGCTGATGGAAAAGGTTGGGCGACGACGCAACAAGGACGAAAGGTGAGGAGGCCCAGGGGCCCAGGGGCAGTCGCACTTTCCTGCAGAGCAGGCAGGCGCTGACAGCGCCAACTGTTTGTTTGTGCATGATATTTTATTATATAATGCACGAGCCGCGTCATAGCGCGGTCCGCGACGAAGGCTCACCCAGGACGCCCACCAACTCCCATCCACCGAAAACCTCATCACACTCCCGCACTCCCGCCATCTCTGGAGGAGGCCGGCGACCTGGGCTGCCTCCGACGGAAGGCACAGAATGGCGGCGTGCCAACGCGCTCGGCCGCCACCGCCAAACTGCAGGGCGAAGAAGATTAAAGTGACAAAAGGAGGAGGAGGAGGAGGAGGAGGAGGAGGAGGAGGCAGAGGATCAGAGGATGAGCAGGAGGGGAAGGAGGAGGAGGAGGAGGAGGATCGGGGGAGATAAGAAGAAGGACAGCTGCATGACATGACAGAGTGGAGTGGGGAGCAGGATCAGAGAGGAGGGGCGAGTGTAGAAGAGGCGCAGCGCGCAGTGCGCAGCTTGCGCAGTTAACTTTGAAAAGACTCGAGGTGCGCTAAGACAAACAGACACCCTGTGTATATCTGCCCCCCTCCTTCCCGTCATTATTTTAATTATTATCCTAATCCCTCTCCGATCCTCTCCCTAGCTACTGCCACCGCGTACTACACTGCTGCACTTGCTTCTCAGCCCCTCCCGTCTCGACGCGCACGAATTAGCCCTGGGCCAGCCGCGAGACGGCCTGGCGCAGCACATTGCGACGGAAACCGTCGACGGAAACCATGTCGGTCCGTAGCCTGTCGGTCCTCGCTCGGCCCAGCGCAGACAAAAATGCATAGGACTGGACTCCGGACCTGGCGACCTGACCTCCCCGGGGCCTTCCCGACATATGATTTTCAAACACAGCATCTTGATATCACCCTCCCCTCCCACCCCTTCCACGCTTTCAAGGTCCCAGGGTCCCTTGGTGAGTCCGAAAAGGCATCATTTTGTAAGATGCTTGCATGCTGCTTTGAGCGACTTATCGACATCGCTGCTCACGGGCTTCCTCCCCGGCTGAAGGGAGTCGCCGCCGCCCTGCTGCTCGCGGACCCTGGCAATCACGCCGCCCGTGCCAGCAAGCGCGGAGGAAGCTGTGTCACTCGAGGCCGCCGCTGCCTGAGCAGCGCTGGCGGTGGCACGCTGGCGGCGCTTTGCCTCCGCCTCATCGGGCGTGAGCATGCGCTTCAGGTACGTCACGGCGTCAGGCGCCGAGGGGGGTGCGCCCTGCTGCGGCGGCTCCGGCTGGTAGCGCGCGAACGGGATTGACACCTTAAAAGCGTACAGAGTGACCCCCGTCGGGACCTCATCCTGCGACGGGCCCAACACCTCCAAAAACGTGCTGTCGGCGTCGGCCGCATTGGGCCCTGGGCCGACGACTGGTGCCATGCCGCTGTCACCAGTGCCTGCAACCCCCTCACTCTGCTTAGCTTTCTTCGCTGGCGGCTGTGCTGGAGCGTCATCTCTGGGCCTGCCGCCGCCGTCGCTGGGGTTCTCGCGGTCTGGCTCCGACATGATCGCGATGTCAGTGAAATAGAGGTCGAACCCGACAGTGGCATAGACAGTCTCGACCAGGAACAGCGTCTGAACATTGGAGTCGGCCTGCTTGTCAACCACGTTGATACCCCATGCTGGCACGATCATGTCGCTCGTGTTGGTGTTCACCGCAGTGCCATTCAGAAACATCTCGAAATTGCCACTGAACAAGCTACACAGAGGCATGAAGTTGGCCCTGCCCTTCACGAGCGTCACGGGGGCAGCGAAGATAAGATCCACGGGCTTGCTTGCCAAGCACGCAGTCTTAGGCTTCTGGCCAGAAACATCCACTGACACATTGTCCGCAGCTGATGCGGCCCCGCCGCTGAGGTGGGCCAACCTGTGCAGCTTCCATATATGTGCCGTCAGCTGCGACTCGATGTACTTCAAAGCAGGCCCGCTGATGAGACGCACGAAGTCGTGGCACTGGGCGGTGGGCGCGGCACACACGTACAGGTCGCTAACTTTGACCAACAACTTGTTGTGCTGGTCGGCCTGCACAGCGCCGGCGGCTGAGCCCCCTCCGCCCTGGGCCCCATCCCGGATGCTCCGCTCCCGCTTCAGCTTCCTGCTGCCGACGCTCGTCGCCGCGCCGAGGATGGCTGCGATTTTGCCTCTCCCAACGCCGCCCTTGATGAGGACGTCCCAGAAGCCGACCCACTCCTGCTCGCCTCTCTGCATCGCGTCCGAAACATACACCTCGATCAAATCTTTCTCGGAAATCTTGGCAATGAACGCCTTGACGGCCTGGGCTGGAAGAGCGGCCCCGTCTCCATCGCTGTGGTGGAACTCTCCGATTGGCTTCGAATCAATCAAATCTTTGATCAAACAGCTCGTGAGCTCACCGCGGAAATGCATTAATTTTGCAAGATCGGCACCGCCACTCTTGCACATGGTTCCAAACGCAACTGGCATCTCACAAGTGTCATTCACATGGGCGAACACGTTCACGATCATGTCCATGCAGGACACAGTGAACACGCCAAGCTCATTCACCTGGGCTGGCAGAGCGGCAGGTTGCAAGCCCCCCCCCACCCGGGGAGGGCGGGGGGGAGGGGGATGGGCCCAGGAGGGGGAGGAGGAGGAGGAGGAGGAGGAGGAGGGAGGAGGAAGGAGGAGGAGGAAGAGGAGGAGGAGAAGGAGGAGGATTGAGGAGATGGAGGAGGAGGAGTAGGAGTGAGGAGGAGGAGGAGGAGGAGGAGGAGGAGGAGGAGGAGGCTGAGGAGGAGGAGGAGGAGGGGGGGGAGGAGGGGGAGGAGGAGGAGGAGGAGGAGGAGAAGGAGGCGGAGAAGAGGAAGAGGGGCTGACAGCCCCGGGGGCTGGCGAGGAGGCGGGGGCGGTGCCCGGCTGCCTGGGCCCCCTGGGGGCCCCTGGGCCCCTGGACGGCGAGGATGGAAGCGGGAGAGGGGCCTGAGGAGGGGCAGGTTTGGCGATGGACGGTGGAAGAGATGGCGGTTTCTGAAGCGCTGCTAGCCACCCCGGACAGGATCCCACAGAGGAACGCGGGCAAGGCCATGGTCTGATCTGGGAGCTTCTGGAGGATGTTATTGAGCAGCTGCGGGTAGAACTGCTGAAGGTTCGCCTTCAGCTTGAGGGTGCGGTTCGTGCTCACAAACTCTTCGAGCTTCCTGAAATCATCCTTGTAATGTACTTGCAGCGAGTCGTCCATCTTTTTCTGGGGATCAGAGCTGGCATCGACGGCGGCAGAGGTCACCAACGCCTTGAGGATGGCGTTTGGGTTGGGCGCTCGAGACTTCTCTGGGCCAGCTGCTGCCGCGGCTGCCGCGTCGCCGGCTGGGGTCTCCTCGTCGTCGTCGCCGTCGGCCCAGAGGATCAGCTTCTCGGCGGCGTCCTTGGCGCTCTCCTGGAGCGTCTTGCGCAAGAGACTCCAGGCCGCCCAGTGACACCCCTTGAAGTAGACCTTCTTGTCCTTCCTCCACAGGAACTCTAAGCCGATGTTGACAAGCTCACCCTTGATCTTCTTCGCGCCTTCCTCGAAGCGCTCTGGGCGCTTGCACACTGCCTCCACCGCGAAGTCCACCGCCATCAGCAAGTCGTCGCCGAAGAACCCGGGGCCGTGAACGAGCGAGTGGGAGGCGCCGACAAGGGGCGAGGACATTGGGCGGGCCAAGCGTCGAAGGCGCCCGAAGCCAGCGTCGCAGCATGGCGTCGGGTCGCGTTTCGGCGCCACGCTCGCCCAATGCCCCTGCCCGCTGTCTGCTGCCCCCTCAGCTCCCCGTTCGGGCCCCGGAGCCTCTCGCGGGCAGATGACATGTCGAGGTCGCTCTTCAGCTCGAGGGACATGGACTCCACCGGGGGCAGATCTGCGGAGGCGGCGGAATCCTGCTGAGCGGAAGCCTTGGCCTTGGCCTTGGCGGCCTTGCCACCCTTTGGCTTGGCCTTGGCCTTAGCCTTCGTCTTGGCCACGGACTTCTTGTACACCTGGGAGTCCTTGTCCAAGGGGAAGCACAGATACTGCAACCTCTCTGTCACTGAAGCGCCGCCTGCGTCAAATAGCCAAGGAATTCTGCGCTGCTGACTGGAAGGGCGGCACGGGACAACAAACTTGATGCTTTCACCCACGAGGGCCCTCAAGTTCAGTGGAGACATGTACCCGTCGAACTTGGCAACGATGAAATTCGCGATGGCGTGCATATTGCTGATGACGATGTGCTGCGAGATGCGAGAGTTCATGAACTCAACGTGCTGCTCCGCCCACTCGAAATGATCATGGAGGACCTCGAGCTTGAGCAGCTTGCGATACAGGCACTTTGCAGAGTCGAACTGCGCCCACGATGTGACCTTGTCCCCGTAGCGATCCTTGATGTGCTTCCAATAGGCCTGCTCGTAGTTGCCGGAGCGCGCGGTGACGTGGCCCTCCTTCGCGGCATGCCAGCTCGCCTACTAGGCTGGGGGTTGGGTCGGGCCAAAGGCGATGCTCCACGGACCCCAAGAAACCCAGAACCCAGAACCCCACGTTCAAGACCCAATTTTATTTCTTCTTTGGGTAGAAGAAGTAGAACTGGGTAACCTTGCCCTGCCCTGGGTAGACGGGCAGGATCCAACCTGCCCCAAACAAGCCGAATAAAACGAACAAAGATCACATTCCGCCAATGGCCCGAACCAAACCCCCCGACCATACTCAACCATGCTCAATACGTCGTGCCTCCATCTCCGGGATCTCTTTCAAGAACTCAATGTATGAGTAGGTGCTGCCGCGCTGGAAGACTGAGTTGTTGTGGTAATCGCGGAGCCACACCCGCAACCATTTGGGCATCTTCGATGTGAACCTCCTTGCCATGATGCCGCCTTTGATGGTCTCCATCACTTGCGGGTTGGTGGGCTGCTTCTCTGCCAGCTCGTAGATGGCGTCTGACCTCCCCCCAAAGGTGAGAGCGTGGTACGGCGGCACCTCGCCATCCGAACAGCAAAGCCAGGGCTCCCTGGCAACTCCAGGAACGAGGCCGCGATCCGCGATGCTGGACATCAACTCCTCCTTGACCGACTCCTGCTTGCGCTGGTTGCAAGCGTCGCGGAAGATCTGCCTGTTCCCTTTCTCATCGAAGAAGCTCACGTGGGTGGGCGATGGCTTGAGCTCGTAGAGTTCGAACACCTTCGTGAGCCTGAGGAGGCCGCTCTCCACGCCAAGGACGTCGACGACGTCCTGATCTTGGCTGAAGAAGGCCTTCAAGAGATCCTGCGGGGCGTTCCTGTCAGCTGCAGCCAAGGCCGACTGGTCAATCTGCCGAGGTTGCTGCGCAGCTGCTGTCGGGGCGCCACCGCTCGACCCACCGCCCGTAGCAGGCGGAAGCGCAGCCGCCATCGCAGACTGTCAAATCCAGCGCGAGTGTGCCTCGGTGGTCTCGCCTTCACACAGAGGCGAAGCAGGGCACAGTAGTAGTAGTCAGACTTGCACCAACTGCAAGTGCAGCAACAATGGCTCGAGGCAAATGCTGTAATGCCGATGGGCTTGGGATTGGGGTCGGGTTGGGAGGGGGCGGCGGCGCGGGGCCTCTCCTTCTTCCCCCCACAGGACCAAGGAGGAGGAGGGGAAACGATTCGCTTGAGGACGAGTGACGAGGAGCATAGGTCCAAGGGCCTCCTGCGAGCCCCGAGCACTGCGCTCCAAGTCCTCACCTCAAGTGCGTCGGTGTCCCCCACACTTGTTATTGGAGTTTGTCGTTTCTCTAACTTGAGTCAGCCAGTAAGATTTGTGTTCAGTCAGTCTGTCCAGTGTTACGAGTCATGTTTCAGCCAGTGAGTTAGTACAGTGATTGTTTTCGTTTTGACCATGCCCCCCTACGCGGTTCCTGCCCACATGTATTTCTGATCCCAGATTGCACCCTATCCAATCTACTCCAGTGGCAGAGGCAACCGCGCTTTTGGAATGCCGATGGACTTCGACCCCGAGTGATCTCTTTACCCCTTTGGTGCAAGACCGCTCCAGGAATGGATTTCGATGCGTTTTGTTCATAAGTGTGTACGTCGATCCTTCGAACCCATCCCTGCATTCGATCTCCACGTCTCCTGGCCCATGCACCCATGCACCCCCTGGCCATAGTGCCATAGTTTCCCTGATATCACGCCGTGGGCCGTTGCCATTAACCAGGCGACCCCATTCATTCGGAGACTTCCCCACAATTCAAGGCGCGCGTTGTGGGCCCCCCAGGCCCACGATTGCACGCAGCGGACCCCTGGGCCCATGATTGAAACGACTCGAAAATACGCGGGCACACCGCGTGGGAAAGCGCAGAAAAACGCAGCGCTGGGCCCCAGTCCCTCACTTGCTCCTCTCGCCCAGCGACCCGCCCTCCCGAGTGTCGCTCGCCCGCGCGGCAGGCAGACCCGGCCTGCTGGCTCGCGACGGCGGCGATCTCGGCCGAGTCCTGGGGGTCGCGAGGCGCCCGGCTCGGCATGCTACCATCTCCTCTCGCCCGCGATGGCATCGCGCCCCCAATCCCAGCAGTTGCGGATAGGGTAGCGACGATGGCCCAATTGTGGCCACCATCCCGCGGGCCCACCAAGGCCCCGTCCGCGGCGGCGTAAGACCGCCCCCCCCCCTCGCCCCAATCTGGACCACCCACGGGAGGAGGAGGAGGAGGCAACGGGGAAGAAAGCAATAGCATATGAGGAAGAGGCGGGGAGGCGGGAGATGGAAAATGCGAGAGTGCTGAGACGGGCGAACACTTGCTGCAAGACACCCCAGGTGGACCGCCCCGGCACCCCTTTGGCGCCAGCCCAGGGCTCCCATGGGGGCAGCGAGGGGCCTTCATGGAGCCCCAGAGCTGAGAGCTGACAGAAAACTTACTTGTGTTAACTCTCGGCGCTTAAGATGGTAGGACACGTTACGGACACGTTGTTGTCCTAGGATGGGTTAGAGCATTCTAAACCACCCTCAACATCCTAAACATCCTAAGCCATCCTAAGCCCTCCAAAATCATCCGACCAAAGAAAAACACATTCCTGTCCGCTAAAGCGCTTGCCCTGCTAAGCCTCCCCCCATGCCCCCCCCTCCCCCTCCCCCCACGGTCCGCGGCCCAGCCTCCAAGGGCCCTCGCGGGGTTTCCGAGGGCGCGCCCGAGCGCGCGGGAAGGACAAACGGAGGAGCAGAGGGAGAGCGAGGATGGATGGAGCAGGAGGGCCACGGCCCGAAGATCCCCCCCGCAACTCGTGGCGACGTGAGTTGGATTGTACTTGCTATCTGCGTTGCATCTTGCCCACTGGTCCACAGCTTTGCGCGTCGTCACGCGGGCCACCGCTTGCCTGCAATGCGAGTGCGGTGCCGAAACCATGTGGGGGCGAGCGGGCGCCGCGCCTGGAGAGACGACGTAGCAGCGACAGGCGTCTGCGACGTGCCCGGCTGGCAGGGCTCCCACAGGCCCGCAGTCTCGAAACAAACGGCGAGCGGGCGCCGCGCCCGGGGCGGCGACGCGGCGGCGATGCGCGACAGCGACGCGCCCGGCGGGCAAGGCGCCCACAGGCCAGGAATTCTCTGCACGCGGATCATACTTAAAGATGAACGCTTGAAATCAATTATGCTCCAGCTGCGCTGACACTAACATGCCGATCTCGAACGCGGCCCCCGGGGCCCCTCCATGCGATCATGATGTGTCTCTCGGTAGCTGGAGCCGCGCAGCCGCGCGGAAGGCGAGCGTATCCAATGATACTATATCATATAAGTGCACGACCTCAGCTCACCCTGGGCGCCCCAAGGATACATGATCATGCTAACGTGTGTTAAAAAAAAAGCCCCAGCCGAAAAAGGTGGGTAGCGCGCATCTGGCCCAGCATCGTAGCATCGAAGCAACGAACCGACCAGAGTATCTTTGCAGGGCTGTCAACAAATGCGCGGGCTCTGGCTGGGTCTGGGCAACCCACGTACTCACTCTGAACACACTGTCGATATATTTGAGACACACGTGACACTACGTTCATGACATACACATTATATTCATTTCTAGCCAGGCCCGCGCAGATGCAAACCTATAGATTCAGCCGCCCTGACGGCATGCTGGTCATGCACACATCATATCATAGAAAAGGTTACCGAACGGTCTTGCAGTGTTCCTGGGTCCCTGGGCGCGTGGCTGCAATGGTGATCGGGATCCGCGGTGAGGAGTATGCGTGTTGCTTATGTTGGTGATTTTTCTCCGCCAGGCTGCCTGACTGCGCGCCAACTGCTCGTGTTTCCCAGGCACGCGGCGAGTGGAATACGCGAACATCTGACATGCAGTCTGGCAGTCAGTCAGGCAGGTCAGGCAGGCTGGCGGCAAACAGATGGTGTTGGTGGTGTTGTCGTTGTTGGTGTTGATGTTGCTCTTGATGTAGTTGCTGTTATTGTTGTTGTTGGTGTTGTTGTTGCTGCTGCTGTTGTTGTTTTTGCTGTTGGTGGTGTTGTGGTTGTGTTTTGTTTGCGTCGTTGTATGAGCGGCGGGTGGGTCGCGGCGCGCGTGGGGCTCGGGCGGTCGCGGGTCCGCGGGTGGCTGTTGGCGCCAATGGGTCGCGGGCGGGTTGCGCGCGGGTCGCGGCGCGGGTGAGTCGTTCGGGCCCCTGAGCGGCGCCCTCATTTTTAGAGCCGACTTGGGTCCGTTCTGGGGCCGTCTTGGTGCCCTCTTCAAGCGCAGTGAACCCCGCGTCAGGCCCTGTCAGGCCCTCTCGGAGCTGTCTCCGGGCCCTCTTGGGCCCCTCCGCCGTGTGAGCCCCAAGGTGGCCCCGCCAATGGGTCAACGTGTAGTGCAGGATCAAACTCTATCCTACATCCCCCGCCCCCCCCCCCCCCCCAGGCCGCCCTACAAAGCGACCGCCCCGCCACCGTCGCCGGCCCGAAGTACAAGGGTAAGAACCACTTCGATCTACATCACCCCCAGCTCCACCCTACGAAAACGGCGACCCCACCACCGCCGTCGGCCCAGTGTAGAGTCAAACTCGATCCTACATCCTTGCGCCCATGAAAACGGCCACGCTTCCGCCGATGACACCGTTGGGCTCCAACTCGATCCCGCATCACCATTTTCACCGCCCTGAAGCAACGGCACTGGGGCACTCTTGGAGCAGTCTCGGGACCTTCTGGCGCCATTCCCAGGGCCCCCAGGCACGTCATACGGCCCCAAGATCACACCCCAACGTGTTCAAAGATGGCCCCAAGAGCGGCCGCCTGAATATTATCTCGCGCGGCCGATCTTGGGGCCCGCTTGGGCCGCTTGGGCGTCGCTTGGAGCCGTCTAGGCGCCCTCTTGGAGCGCTCATTGAGCCCCCGACCGAATGCTGAAAGGACCGAAAGACTTACCTCCTCGCTCCTCCCTCTGAGGCGAGCGTTTCCCCCCTCCTCCCTCCTTCCTCTGGGGCCCTCAAGTGCTCTCGGGCCCCATCTAAGGCGAGCGGGTGGCGGGGCCGATTGGCCGCGGGCGGGTCGCGAGGCTGGCGGGTCGCAAGTGGGTTGCAGGCGCCGCGCCAGCCCGCCCGCGCCCTCGCTCTCATCCGCAGTTGCGGGTTGCTACGTATATGATAAGTACACACCTGCGACATGTGCGAGACTCGCTGCTCGAGCGGGCCCCCCCGCTGCTCACTTGGCGTTGCCCACCCGAGCCGGCGCCGGGCACGAATCGCCGAACACGTCGAGTGCGTCCTCGGCCTGAGCTTGGGACTGCGACCGCTCGCCTTCAAGGCGCTCCGAATTCTCCCTCTCCTCGTTGCCCCTCGTGCGTGTGTTGTAGATCCTCTTCATGCGAACGGCGTGGCCAGCGGGCAAGATCTTCCTGTTTGGCCATTCGCGTCATATCACGTCCCACAGCCTCCTCCTCCTCCTCCTCCTCCTCCTCCTCCTCCTCCTCCTCCCTCATCTCCCCTCCTCATCCTCCTCCACCTCCTCCTCCTCAGACTCCTCCTCCTCCTCCTCCTCCTCCTCCTCCTCCTGCTCCTGCTTCGAAGGAGTCTGTGACAGTAACGCCCTCGCTCGCAGGCTGTCGACTGCGTTCTGATTGGGATAACACATGCATGGGTGTTTCAGCGGGCCCGCCCAGAACTGCGCAGAGACCGCTGGTTTCGGGCGATGTCTATGTCATCGGCGCAAGTGGAGCCGCCTTGGGGCCCGCTTGGGGCCCTCTTGGAGGCCCCCAAAGAGCTCCAAGAGGCACAGGAGGACCTCTTTGGGGCCGTCTTGGGGCCCTCTTGGAGCCCCAAGAGGGTATATAACTAAGGTGGTGTGTTACATGCGCCCCCGCGGCCCTCCTGGGGCCGCCTTGGGGCCCGCTCGGGGCTCTCTTGGAAAACCCCAAGGAGCTCCAAGAGGCCCAGGGGGGCCTATCTGGGGCCGTCTCGGGGCCCGCTTGGAGCCCCAAGAGGTGTATATAACAAAGGGGCTGCGTTATATGCGCCCCCGCGGTCCTCCTGGAGCCGCCTCGGGGTCCGCTTGGGGCTGTCTTGGAGGCCCCGAAGGAGCTCCAAGAGGCCCGGGGGGGCTCTTTGGTGCCGTCCTTGGGCCCTCTTGGAGCCCCAAGAGGGGTATATCACAAAGGTGGTGTGTTATCTACGCCCCCGCGGTCCTCCTGGAGCCACCTCGGGGCCCGCTCAGGGCCCTCTTGGAGGCGCCGAAGGAGCTCCAAGAAGCCCAGGAGGGCCTCTTTGGGGCCGTCTTGGGGCCCTCTTGGAGCCCCAAGAGTGGTGTATAACTAAGGGGTGTGTTATATACGCCACCGCGGCCCTCCTGGAGCCGTCTCGGGCCCCCCCCCCGCGGTTGCGGCATCTGTCGCGCCCTCGGCCGCCCGCCAGGCGGGGGCAGTCAGTCAGTCAGTCAGCGCACCCAGGGAATCCAATCAACGGGCGCATGCCAGTGCAGAATCGAGGCCCTCCAGGGCAGCGCCGGAGAGCGCCGTTGGAGCCATCATCTCGGGTAATCGCCGTTCGAGGCGGCTTGCGGGAGATGGGGGGGGGGGGGGCTCGCAGGCATGTGGCCCCAGGTCCAAGCGTAGCTGACGTTCCTCGCAATGGAGATCAACGCCTGGTCCATCCTGCGCACACAGCTCGTAGAGTACAGGTAGACGAGACCAGGGATAGTGACGCACATGGCGTTGCCGGCCTGCCCGGCGACAACGGCCGACCTGGGCAACATTAGCATCATGAACACCATGTAGTCGTAGTGAAACATATTCATCAAGTTATCAGTATCTTCTTTTTTCCCGTCATCTCCCTCGCCTCCTCCCCCCCTCCTCCTCCTCCCTCCTCCTCCTCGACTCCTCCACCATCTAGGTATACCCCGAGATGTTGCGGCGTAGTGGGATCAGGGCCCAGGCAAGCCGATAGTGGGCCCACATGGCTCATATGGCCAGATAACCTGAATAGCCCCAGGTAAACTCCCAGAAACTCCCACACCTAGTCGGCTCTACACGCCACGCGACCCCCCTCATCCCACCCCTTCGCCGGAATCAAACCCCGACCCCCATGCTGATTACAACTGGCCCGCCAGACTTGCGGGCGCGACCGACTTGGAAGCTAAATGTTATCGGATCCCCGGCCCGGCGAAGAACTGGAAACCCTTGCGTGCCCAAGCATTCAGTGGATGTGAGCCACCTGCTTGGCTTCTTGACCGAGCTGCGGTCCCCCCAGTACATGCCGGTATTCTTGATCAGCGTCTGCATCACCTTCGGCGTGCTAAACGCGCCGAAGCCCGCAGCGTGGGACTGGTAGAGGCTGTACATGCAGTTCGGGTGTGCCTCGCGATAGCTCTTCATGTTGTCAAACTCCCACTCCGTCAGGGCCAGCTCGAAGGACGCAGGGCACGCAGGATCAAGGTCCTCAGCCTTCAGGCCGCGAAGGGTTGCTCTGGACGTCCTGCGCCGTGCCTCAGCGACTAGTTCATCTCTGACCTCCTCTGGGCTGGCGGTGAAGAAGTGCTGCCACGTGAACATAGTGGCGCGCTGGAACCTGCGCATGAAATCACCAAACTGCGTGTCGCAAGACAACACCTTTGTTTTGTGCAATAAGAGTGTCCATTTACGAGTGCGTGCAACAGGAAACCCATGCGATTCCGAGTCCAAGATCACTGAGGTGATGTCGTAGGTGTCGCCCAAGTATTCACACATCAAGTCCGTGGGAAATCCTTTCACGTTTTCTTGGATCACGATCGGCTCCTGCAAAGCCCTCCTGAGCGCAACCCAGGCCATGAAGTGCACCATCGTGCGTCCCCCGGCTCCTTTATGTTGACCGCGCGAGCTCCAATCTGGGCAAGGGGTGCCCGCGAAGTGCACCTTGGCAGAGTTCGCGGGGCAGGTGCCGCCGTGGCGCAGGCATGCGCCGCAGGTCTTCACAGTGAGGCCCGTCATCACCAAGGGGCCAAGCAGAGGAACTGTGCTCTCAGGGTGCGTCTTGAGGTATTCCAGCAAATCCGCGAGCTCTGGTTTGAAGAAAGATTCGATATCACCGAAAACGCAAGAATCACAATCTGGCATCCGCAATAACTCTTGCTGGCTCTCCCAATACCACTCAGTGTGGTGAAGCATGCGCGGCTTCACG